ATTTGTTTACTTAGATTGTTGTGTCGATCAAGTTTCCCCGAAAATTTGTTCCTCGGCATGCGAAACAAATTTCCAGGAGAATATTTGTCTTTTCGAGAATTTGTACAGATGTCCAGATTTACAACAGTGTAGCTTCTTGATTGAAAATATATATTTTTCCAGATGGTGATTCACAACAAATACTAAAATAAAATACACCTGCTATCAGCCCATGAGAGAACACAAACACAAACGCGAACCAGAACGCGATCCAAAGCATCACTAAGGCGCCATCTGACGAAATAGTTGCACTTCGGTCGTTGATCCAGCTGCGAAAGGATTTCATTTCATTCGTGTTCAATCACAGACACATACACCAGCGTGTATGACAGTTCATGGGGTACACTACAGCAAGGCATGCAACACTACAGCTACTTACGAAACATGCTTGGGTTATTTACAAAGCAGATCTTAACAGTATATATATATATATAAAGATACATGCAGTGTTAGTGACTAAATACGGAATAACATGCACAAGCGATGGCAAGCGAAATGAGTTACAGCAAGTATGGGTTCGGCATGAGCATGAAATACAAATGATACTTATGGAACTTACCACAAATGAAATTAAAAGATATACATACATACTACTTGACATTAATTATACAGATGTACGGACATCGCATGTACACACTTGGGAGTGCATACGTGTGAGTGCGGAGACAACAAGAACTCGATGGCTTCTAGAGGCAATGCTTGAATGAAGGTGAATGCTGGCCAAAAGCCAAAGGTGTACAGATAGAAATAAATATTGGGAAAAGTAGGAGCGAATTTATTTACAGATCTCGGCAGAGAGACGAGCTAATTTATCTTAGGAGAAAAATAAGTACTAGTAATGGTGAAGATATTAGATACAGCAGTGGAACCACCAAAACGTGTGTTTTTGTTTGATAGAGACGATCGCCAACCTGGACTCGTGGAGGCTGGTGACAGTTGGCGTCTTGTTACGCATTCCAAAGGGTTCCATGTTCATATACTTACAACTCTGATAGAGAACGAAAGAGAGGTCGAGAGCATAGTTGATTTTCTACAGGAGTGAGAGACAGGGCGTGTTTGTGTGTGTGTGTGTGCGTAAGAGAGGCTTTGGGCAATGAGCGAACTAGTCATGTTCGTTTCGATGGTTCAATGAGAGAGGAAAGTACACAACGACAGCTAGTATTAATTGGAAGTATGATGCGATTAGGTAGGTAGCTTGAAGTTTATAGACAGAGGGCTGGATTCATCACAGAACATGACTACAAAATATACATGTGTGTTGCATTAGAAATTAGGTTGGGGGCAGAGGTGTAGAGGAGGTATTAGGTTTACAGTTCATTAGATTTGTTCCTTTGATATTTAATCTGTTTGCGGTGGGAAAGGGTTGAGCGCCAGGGCGTGTTTGTGTTTCATAGGATATATAGATTGATACAGGGGAGTAGTAGGAGTAGGAGTAGGAGCAGGAGAGAGAGAGATGTAGAGTACATAGAGAGTCAGTGAGTTTAGCAATTTAGACTAACTACATTCTTTTCGGAAATCTCATCTAAAGATTTGAACTTCGGAGGAGAGAAATGAAGCCAATTTTAGGTTTAGGTTTTCTTTCAAGTGATCCTCACCTCGTCTCTCTTGGTTAACAGGATAGAACAACATATAAGTGATCCTCAATTATGCTTAAATGTTTACCACTCTGATGTGTATGTCAAAGCGCCGCCCGCACTTCGCCGATGAGCCCAACATTTATGGTACATCGCTTGCAAATGCCAAATGGAAATGAGCCCGCGGACGTAGGAGAGCATTGATCGTCTGCTTAGCTTACGGTAGTACTTAAAAGTTAAAGCTTAATAGTTAAATTGACTACGGTGTAGAGGTAAAAAAAGTATTCTTGTATGTTTGTAGAAGGCCACATATTATGCATGTATGTATGTATGTAAGTAAGTAAATAGGTATATAGTAGTTAGCCATGGTCAATGGTCCAGTAGAGTAAGGCGGTGACGCGCGCAGTTCACACAATCGAACCGATGCAGGTCGGCGGTGCCATTGGGGAATGTATGCTTAATACAGTGCAGTGTGCGTGTGTGTGAGTGTGGGAGATGAAAATGGAGGCGGCGTATGGGAGCTTTTCGGCTTTCATGTGCTTTTCAAATGGTATAAATAATAGTCGTAGAGGTTTCGTGTCATGTGGTGTCGAGGATGCTGCTGTTGCAAATGACTGTGGTCAGAGTCGCGGCCACTTTGGTGGCAAGAGTTGTTCATGTAATTGTAAGTGTAGTGGTCGTTGGTGCTAATACAGTACTGGCATGACGTGGTGTCATGCGTTTGCTCTCAGATCGTGGTATTGAACTGATTGAACAGTTTAATGTCCTTCATTTCCATTTCGCCGGGTCGCGACTTGTGGTACGTGTAAATGTGGGTCATCAGCGAGTTGCGCGAGCAATACACTCTCTCGCAGATGATACAACGATATTCCTCTTGGCGAACGGCATGTTTGTCGGCAATGTGACGCTTGAGCGAAGCTTTTGAACAGAGAAGCTTACCACATAGTTGGCATGAGAACAGTTTCTTAGGCGAATTTCCTGCAATTTGTTTATTGGAAGGTTATACGATTTCATTGTCTCAAAAAATGCAGTTGTAGTTGTATGTTAAGATGCTTTATATAGATATAATTCGTATTCGATTCAGTTAATAGTTATGTGGGGATGATGGTTGGTTGTTCGGTTGACAGACTTAAGTGCTAGGTTTGCTTTACACTCGACAAAATTAATAAAATGTATAGAAAAGGTTTTACAAGACTACACACCTAGAATTAAAAATTAAAAAGTAAATAAATAAAAAACAATAGAAATGAATGACATCGAGGCGAAAACGCGCACAACACATGAATAGCTTATACATATGTAGCAATAAAAAATAAAATACATACACACTTAACAATTAGTAGCAATTGGCAGTAGTACTGAGAGTGCATATACCACCCCGATTTGGCAACAACACAGAGCGACCGAACAAGAAAAAGCAACATTCTAAGTAGGCAACTCCATGGGCAGGGCTGATCGCCCCCGCCCACTTTTTTGCGGCTGCGACTGGCCACCTTAACCATGGAAATTAAACAAGTTTATCATTTTTCATCATCTTTATCGTTTATTCTCAATAATAACTCATCCTTCTGCTTCGTCCTTCTCTTCTTAGCATATCCTTATGAAAATATGTTCGTGTGTCCTCTTGTTTGTATTTGTATTTGTTATTGTTGTTCTGTTTTAGATCTTATTAATTTACTGTACTTAAATACACTTGTCAAGCGATTGTTGACTTAAAATACATGTGTGTTTTCCAAACACGATCGAGTTGTTGTTGTCATTGTTGTTGTAACTTAAAGAAAACTCAAAACTGAATCAGGTAAAACGAGAAACGTGAACGAGAAATCCAATCAATCTCAGTGTGGCTAAAGCAGATCGCAGGTTGTGCCCTAATGACGTCACTGAATGGGAGTAAAGTTCCCGTTTTGTTCGAAAGGAAAGGAAACAACAAAATAACATATGCGAAAGTGATGGCATAGACGAAGAAATGTTCTCACTTGTTGTGTTCCAGTTGAGCGCTGCTCATTTTGGAATGCCAATGAAGACAAATTTATAAAGTATTGAAAAAAAAAAAAAAAAAGAAAACCAAAGACTACAAGATACTACATTATTAAGTTGAAAAAAGGGGAGAACATATTTTATTTTTATTCCAAAAATTTTCTTCAAATAATTCTGACATTTTTCTTCGTCGACACCTTTAATTGTCTATGAAAATACTAAATACGAAACTAAAGAATGAATATTACGTCTATTTGTAAACATCTGTTTTTTCGTTTATAGCGATCTCTTTGTGTGCTTGAGCGCATTAGGCTCCAATCACACGCACATACACCGGGCGTTGTCGTATGGCGAGGTGTTGGCAAGTGTATGTTTTTGAAGCGAAATGGATCGAGCGGATTTATGTTCAATTAACTTCGTACCTTTTGCTAGTATGAATGCATGCTGGGTATGTATGTCTGCGGTAGTGGTTAATACAAGGGTTTGGTTATTACTGTTACTCTATTTGTTTGGTTGATTTTGTTATAGGAATAGTTTGTTGTTTGTTGTTTTTTTTTGTTGTTTCACAAAAATTAAAACTATTTGTTGTTTGTTTTATTTCTCTTTATATTATTTTGTGGATATTTAGGAGACTTGGTTGTGATGAGATTTGTGACATATATTTATATAGAGATGCACGAAAAAAGCAAGCGTGATGTAGAATGTGATGAGTGAAAGAAGAGCATCTCAATCCTCAGAATTCCGACTAAGACTGTCTCTTCCCCATGAACACGACCTGATTTTTCTTAAAACAAGGTGCCAAATCCGTTTCCACTTCCAAACAACTGGGAGATTTTTTCATAAACGATTGTTGTTTTGTAGGGAAATGCAAATACTTAAAAAATTTGTACAAAGATGGCCAATCATATTAAGAGACCATTTAAGAGAACATTTAAATTTCATTACATGTTAAGTTATTTGGCAATTTTATTGAAGAGCAATGTTGTCTAAAACAATTAATTAAAAAAAAATATATATAAATGAATAATACGTTGACATTGGTTGGTTGGTTGTGTAAAGAAAATTAAGAATATATTTAGTTTTGTTTTCCAACAGATTGACCGACAAATGTACGATGTATGAATATTACATCACCCTTGCTGTCCCTCGATAAAAAGGGTAGGGGGTTTGTGCATATCTTGACAATTAAGTATTTAGCTATATATCACAAATCTTTTTGATTTCATAGGACTGGCCACACAAACGAACATTCGTAAGATGGACAATCGCTTCGTCGTCACTTCAAACTATTTCAACATTAGGCCTGCTGTTACTATTTTGCTTCATTTTGCTATTTGGAATTCAGTCTGTATGCTTGGGTTCGGGTTTGGGTTTGAGTTTTGATGACATTGACTTATTACAGATTGAAGATTGAAATAAATAGGAGTTGGTTTTTATTTATATGTTTGCTGTTGGTTTGTATTTGTATTAGGTAAATTTAAATTTATTTATTTATTATTCATTTATATATGTTTATATGTATGCATGTATGCTGTGATAGTATATACGTTTTGGGATTGCTGTAATGCAGCGGCTGGATGAGAACAAATACTAAAAACAATTTAGTAAATCTTCCATAATGAGTTGAACAGAGATATAGAAAAAAGTAATAAAATAATGTATAAAAACAAAAAATAAAGAAAACTAGGAGAATCTGAGTTCTTCTTCGTCTTATTGGATAGTACATGTGTGTGTTTGTGTGTGTTTGTTTGAATGAGGGCGTGTATGTGTGTTTATAGTCGATAGGTTGTTTGCTTGTATGTACATATCTTCATTTGTAATTTATTGTAACAACAAAACATTTACATCATATATCCTATATGTGTGTATGTACTTATATTTATACGTATGTATGTATGTATGTAAATAGGTGTAATTTTGTAAACAAGTATGTCATATCTGTAAGTAGATTGATGGGCATTGGGGGTCACAAAATATCAAAAATTCTGGAACATATTGTAGGTGTTTGTATTGTATACAAATGAAACAGTAATAGTCAATAATAATAATAATAATAATCATAATAATACTTAAATGTAACAGTTATAGTAGTGGTAGTTGTGGTCGTATTTTTGCTTTTACGCACTCTTCTGCTCGACATGAGAATTGGGGGCAGAGCATTGGAAAACGATTGCTTACAAAATGTAATTTGGTGAAAAGAAAATAAAAACATTACAAATATACATGTGTATGTATACGTGTGTTTGTGTATAGTCAGACTTGTTTGTTTGTGTTTTAGCTTAGCGTTTCGTGTCGTCTCGTTCGGTTTCAATTCTAAGCACACTTGACGATGCCGACATCAACTTCAACATCGCTATGATCATTCGACAACAGTATGCGTTCAATAATCACAATTTAATAATTACACAATAATTTCTAATAATTTTGAGATGGATCAATTTTTGTTTCTTGCGAAAAGTCCCAAATAAAAGTCAGTCTTTGCAACGAAAATGGATTTTCTTCACTTCTCTCTCTCTCTATCTCTATCTCGCTCGGGGAAAAATTTTGATTTGATTCCTCTAAAACAATATCGCCAATAAAAAACGTTGGTCAACCATTGCCAAAGGAATTTTAAAGCAAATTCTTAATTGATTTTGATCTTAAACCTAAAACTATCAGTCCTTTCAATGCCTAAAACAGTACAAGTGAGCGCAAGTCTCGCTGGCCAAATGTGTTTAACACAAAAAGGAGCCAACGCCGATGCGAAAACCGAAAACAAACTAAAAAATAATTTCCATTGGATTCCAAAAGGGCACAAATAAAAATACAAATGGGCGGGTCCATATCACCTGGAATGTTGAGGTTTCCCGGACTTGCATCTTTTGAAAGCTCTAATGCTTACGAAAATGTAAACGCCCAACACGCCACAGATATTGGACCCATTTCCGGGCGTTCTACCATTGAATACAAATTTATAGAAAAAAGAATCGAGCTGGCTTCGCTCTTTATAAGGTTGTATCGAATACGCCTATTTACATTGAAACGAATTTGTTTGTATGTATGTACATGTATATACCTTTCTCTATCTTATGTATGCATGCATGTATGCATATCGCCTAAAAATGCGTGTATGTATATGTAAATCTAAAATGCAGATTAGCTCAGAACTTATATATACATTGGGGTCGTCCTAGTCCTGCATGTGTATGTGTGTGTGTTTGTATTCTACATACATATATTTGAATTCTTCTTTTGAGTTACACAATAAGTCCCAGTCCTTGTAGTTGCAGTTCCTACATCACTCGGTCTAAAGGTCTTCCGAAGGGGGGTCTGACTTTCTTCTTTGAATTTTTTGGTTTCTTAGTTTCTTTTTGTTTTGTTTTTTTCTTTCTTCTTCGTTTGTTTCTGGTAGACAGACTAATTTTAATACCGATTGGTGTATTGTCGAGAATATTATGAAAAGTAAAACAATAAATACACAAAAAAAAAATAAAATAAAATAAAATCTAAAACAAAAAATTAAAATCGAAATACAATTGCACAAATCATTTTTGTTTTTGTTCAAACACTTAATTGGGTTGGGGAATGGTTAGGGGGTGGGGGAATATTGGGGTGTGGGGTGGGTCCTTAATTAAGAGCATTTGCTTTGCAAAATGCGTTCAGTTTCCTAGTCGATGAACTTACGAATACGCTAGCATGATATGAGAGTCGAGCTGTATATTCCTACTCAGGCTCTCTCTCTCGATTCTCTCTTTAGTGTTTTAAATGAAATTTTAAAAATGTTATTTTGTAAAAATCACAGTTTTGAATTCGCCTAAATATTAATAAAATAAATCTTTGTAAGTGTTTTTGAGATCCAAAAAGGGTTTGGGGATGGGTGATGAGGGATGGGGGATGCTGGTGTTTTGGTGGGTGATGGGGTTCGATAATTTTGTGGGGCGAAATGTCAGACGCTTCATTCATTGATTTAGCAGATGCATGTTGCTGTATGGATCCTCGCAAGTGGCCATGGCATAGTTTTCCATTTGTGTCAGATCTACGATAGGCGGATGTGGCGGCGGCGGCGGCAGGTCCGTCTGTGCGACGTGACATGATGAAGATGGAGTAGTCGAGGGTGGCGGGGGTAGTTGGGCTTGTTGCAGCGCTGCTTGTGATGGCGCGACATCATCGGCGTGGCCAGATGATGACATGCTATGGTGAGCTATGGCCGATCCTGGCGCAGGTCCCGCGGGGTTCATGGCAAAACTAAAGAGGTGCTGAAGAAAGTTATGCTGATCTTATAAGTAGTCCATACAGGGTTTTACGATGTTGGGTGATGATTGCTGCTGGTGCGAGGACAACTGCATGGTTTGCCCAGAATTATTACCGGCCACAGCAGCCGCTCCGACGATTGGTGACAGCAACAGTTCAGCGGCTGCGGCGGCGGCCGCGGCAGCTGCCGCTACCGCATTGTCGTTGCTCCTATTGTTGGCCGAACTGTTGGCAGCTGCGGCAGCGCTCAGTGAGCTCAATGACTGGTGCAATCGACTGCCGGCTGCTGAGGGACCTCCCACTGGACCACCCACCGATGCATGATGAAAGTATGAATGGTGCTTCTGGCGTCGATGATATATGCTCTTGTGATTGTTTAAGCTATTAAGGGTCCGAAATACTTTATGGCACAGATTACAGACGGCGTTGTTGAGGGGCTGCAAGTGCTGTTGTTCCTTGTGGCGCTTCAGGGTTAACTTTGTGCTCAGCAATTTTCCGCAGACATCGCAACGGTGGCACGCATTCAGAGGCAGCGGCAAGAGGAGTCGGCTTCCGCCAGCCAGTTCTGATGCTCGTGAGGACGCCAAAATGCCAGCCGCCGACGAGGAATTGGAGGATCGGCCAGTGGGTGACGGCGACAGAGAGGATCGGCGGTGCTGCAGCAAATGGTGGTGGTCGAATGGAGACGGCGCTCGGTTCAGGTGGTGATGGTGGTGGTGATGGGCAGACGTGGAAAGTTCATGATGAGGGTGTAAATGGTGACTGGGTAGCATGGAGAGGGGATGTTGCTGGAGGGCGAATGGCGAATGGGCGTGTGAGTGGGGCGGGGGGCTTTGTGCAGACTGGGATGATTGTTGCAGCTGCTGCTGGTGGTGGTGCAGGTGGTGGTGATGGGGGGACGGGGTAGTTGGGAAGGAACTAGATTGCTGGCTGGCCTCCGACTTTTGTTCGCGTGTATGGCGTTCACCCGCTTCACTCGCCTCGTCGGCGGCACTGCGCTCGTTCGCTTGGTGCAAATGGTGTTCGTGGTGAAGTGCATGAGAGGAATGATGGTGGTTGCTACTTGCATTTGCATTGACCCCGGGCACTATAACGCCACCGAGTAGGTTAGTGCTTCCACCTATATTGAAATATAGGAAGAGAAGAGAAAAGAGACAATAGTGACTTTCTGTTCATTCAACATGGCATAAGTTTGATCTGTTCTGTTTCTGGAGGTTCTTCTGTGATCTAGCCTAATTGCATCTGTTCTGTTATTGTGGCATTGGCTGCTGCGCTAGCCACCTATTGTGAATGCGTTTGTGTTGACTGTTGTTTCCTATCCCCCTGGGGGGTCCCTACAAATCGTCCAGGCTCAATAAATGTTCTCTTTATATGTTGTTGTAACAAAACTCCCATGTCCGCATCCAGCCTTGGCATGTCTTTCGGACATGGGGCGTCCATGACCATGAAGTGATCAAAACAAATGAAAATAAAACTGAAAAATCTTTGAGTCTTGTTGTTCTCATCATTGACCGGAGTCTTGGAGTCTTGTCATGTGACAGGTTATTAAGGGATTGGGATGTGATTTCTGTTGCAGTGTGTGGCTTATTTTCCATTACGGCGGATTCTGAACTTTTGTGATTATGAACAACACATCGATTCAAGAAACAAAAAAGGAAAACGAAAACTAAACAACACTTACGAATGCTTCGACCCGAAGGCAGTGGTCGCTCTCCGAGCACGGACAATGGCCACTGACTCCGAGCGTCGTATCGACGTATTAGCAGTTTGCTTTTACTGTTTTCGGGGAAGTAGGAGGCGGGCAATGATGCGTGCCAGGTTCTCTGGCCCTGAAATTTGGATTTCTGGGTCGGGGAACAAGACGAGTGGTTTTGTTTTGTGGAATTTTGAAACATTTTTGGCCTGATTGATTTGTTGTTGCTTTTTGTTTTGTTTACATGTGTGAGTGGTTTAGTACACACGAAATGCATGCTGTACTATTAATTTAAATTTGTTGTTGTTGTTGTTTATTTTATAATATTGATAAGAATGTCACTAGTGTCTCTCTTTTCTTTTCCTTTCTTTTCTTTATTTTTTTCATATGGCAGTGCACACCACCTACTGGGGGAGTTTGGCGGCGTGGCGTGGCATCAACATAAACAAGTTTTTAAAATTTTCAATAGCATCACTTCATATAGGAGTGAGATAGGTTGGGTATGGGAATGGGAATGCGGGGGTGGGGGTGGGGGATGGGAGGGTTGTGCGGTGGGTGTCTGATGTGTGTGTGTGTTGATTTAATTTTGATGATGTGATTTTATACATACGTACTTCTTACGTAGGTTCCAGGTGAAGATTATGGTTCTAGGTCGTGCCGGTTTTTTTTTTTTTGGGGGGGGGGGGGGGTTTCATTAATTTTGGAGGCTTGGTTCGGAGGTTCTTTTCACAGTTTCAGTGTAAAATTCAATCCAATTAATTTCAAATGTGTAATGACGCGGTGCTAAAAAAATTTAATGATATTGATGGACCGATCGATGGGTGGATGATGGGATGGATGCACGGGGTGCTTCGAACGCCCTCTTGGACTTATTGTGTAAATGCAATGACAACAAATAAATCTAAAACTATGCTAGATTAAACAATCGATATCAAAAATAAAATATGGACTTAGGCTAAAGGCAAAAATAATGTAAAAATAGTAGTAATAATAAAACGAACACAATTAAACGAAAAGTATCTCGAAAATGTCATTTTTCATACCTAAAGTAAGGGTGGTTGGTTGGTTGGTTGGTTTGCTGGTTGGATTCGTGGTTGATATTTACACAGAGAAGAACACGTTTTGCCCGGCATAGTGAGGCAAGCGAACATTCGAATGCGAGTCACTTACACGGACTGTTGACCGTTTTCTGTGATTATTCGTCCACTGTGTTGGTCCATTGGTCGGTTGGTCGGTCGGTCGGTCGGTCGGTTAGTTGGAACAAACCCTAGCTATCAAACCACTCAGTCCGATTCGTCTCTTACAACTAGCCTGGCTTGTCTATAATTATGAAATATGCATATGTGTAAGAGTACCTAAAACTATTGTTAAAGCCACGTTTTCACATTAACAAATTTGTAGACTACTTATCTATATTCATGTATATATATATATATATATATGTATATGAGTGTGTATGTATGTGTGTGTGTATTTGTTTTTTTGAGAACCTGATAAAATGATAATGCTTCTTAATTACTATATTGCTTAAATTTTGATACTTTAGATGTACGAAACTTGAAGAGAGCTCTGAACACTGCTCTCTCTTTCGCTCTGAATGAATGAGGCCGCCTGGATGAAACATGCATCGGGGGTGAGGGGAGTTGCTTAAGGCTAGGTGAGGTTGCCGAGGACAACGCATCTTTCTTTTGCCTAGACAAAAGTCAAAGGCACTGACAAACGAGTTGCAGAGTTATGGATGCGGATGGTGTAAATGAGGAACCGATCATCCAATGGTGTTGTGCGAGTGAATGTGTGGCTGTGTGCGAGTGTGCGAATGGCTACGAGGGCTGGTGCACTGTTACATTACAACTCTCGTTTAGTGGCTTATGTCTCTAGAACTTAGTGAATCAGAAGACTTAAATGCTAAGTAATCTATGGATAACTTCATCAGCATCGTCACCGCGAGTTCAGGGGTTAAAAATGAACATTTGCTAGGTAATCGAAATACATAAAACCCTATGAGGAGGACCGGTGGTTTATGGGCGTGTAGTAGGGATTGCTGCTGACAGTTAGTCCCATATTATTCTGGTGGTGCGTCGACACATCGGGCGATGGTTCCTGCTTCGGCTGCTTGAGGTTACGGTGATAGATGCTCTTGTGATTGCGCAGGCTGTTAAGAGAGCTGTAGACACGCTTGCAGATATTGCACACAGGCTCCTTGGTCGGCCGCATGTGGACGTTCTGGATGTGGCGCTTTAGACGTGTGAGGGAGGATAAGTTTTTGTTGCAGGGATCGCAGCGGAAGTCGTCGCCGCCGCTGGATGTATTTAGGCTGTTGTTGGCCGGCGAGTTTAAGGCATTAGAATTGCTCGATGACGACGAGGCGGCCATATTGGCCATGGCAGCAGCTGCTGCTGCATACATGTTGCCACTCGCATTTCCGTTCGCAGAGTTTGAGGCACTGGCTGCGGGCAAGATCTGCTGGTTGGCACCTGAAGGTCCATTGTTGACACTGCAGTTGCCGGAGAAGGGCGACATGTTTATGCCACGCATAACTGAACCTATTTCATTGTTGTTGTGGTTGTTGTTGTTGTTTTGCATACATAATAGTGGCGACAAGTCGCGTCGGACGCCGATTTTATAACGGTCACCAGTGTTATTATGGTTGTTGTTGTCGTAGTGTTGGTTGTGGCAGTTGTGACCGTCATTGTTGGTGTGGTGGTCGTGATGGTGAATGTTGTTGATCGCAGTATCGGTTGTTGGTTGTTGAAAAGCATTTGTCGTCAGTTGACCTGACGACAAGGGAAAGAAAAACGTCGTATTAGCCCATTGTGAAGAAATTGTATTGAATTATGAATAGAATGCGGTCAAAAAACAACACAGGGTGGTGGGTGGTGCTGAATAATTAACTAGCGTTACATTTCAATTGCTTGTTTTGTTTTGTTTAGTTTGGTTTTGGTTTTTTCGAATTGAATTTAGCTTATTCTCAATTTAACTTTGGGTTTACTTTCTTTGGTTTTGTTTGGTTTCTTTTTGGGGGTTTCGTAAAATTTATTTCTTTTTTGATTGTTCATTTCCATCAGTATTGGGTTCTTTAAGATTAGTTTGGTTTCAAACTCGAAACACTTTCCAGTTCTCTTCAATGTTTGCATCGATTGCCATGCATGCTGGGGTTGAGGGGTTGGGAGGAGGAGGACAACTAAAGCCAGTGAATTCCTTCATAAACCTGACCTGCATACAAATCACACTGATCTGTTCAGGGGTGTATTAACAAAGCTTTCCCGCGCCCACTAAAATGGGCGTGCCGGGGACTGGGAGGAGTAGCAACAACTATATTTTTTGTTTTAATTTTCGTTCTTTGTTTTTGCTAACCACTTTTGCAATTCCACCAATTGTTCTTTCGCTCTAATCGATTAATTTAGAAGAGGTAGTTAGGTAGGTTGTGTGGATGGGTAGGTGGTTGAGTGTGTGTATACATTTGTGTGTGTGTGTGTGTTGGTAAGATTTTGTTGCCTGTTGTCGTTGCTGCAGCCACCTCATAATATAATAATTTGTAATTTTGTTGAGTGTTGGATGCTAGAGTGTGTGTGTGTGTGTGGGTTTCAAGTCATGTTCGTTTGTGGACCATCACCAGTTTGTATCTTATATCGAATGGAGACACCTTCGAATTCCGTATGTGTGTGTAGGGGTGTACATATTTGGTTCGTTGGAAAAGGAATTGTCTTCATGTTCTATTTGAAGGCACATAATCCTTTGGAAGGAGATATAGTGACAAATTTTAAGGTTGGTTCTGCTGAAAGCGTATTCCAGTTGCGTGTTTATGGGCCTGTGTGTGTGTGTGTGTCTTGTGTATGTATCTCGATTGTGTAAGGGGGAGAGGGTTTCTTTGGGGCAGGAATATTAGGGATGCTGGATGCTTGCTACTACAATTACAATACAAATTTCGCGGCTTATTGCCAAGTCCGTCCAGTTTCAGTTTCAGATTTTTCCAATTGACCAATAAGGGTTAACATTCTTAGTGTGTACAGGGTTTTGTGTTGTGTCCCTCTGTTTTTTTGTTTACTTTGTTTGATTTGGATTGTTTGTTTTTCTGAGTTCGGATGTTACTTGTGTTACCTTACTCGCTAAGTGAATGCTTTGACTAAACTATAAGATAACTTAGGATAAGTGGTGCCAGTTGCCAGTTTTCACTTCGTGTTTCCGGTAATAATGATAAAATACAACAAACCATTGAGGAAATGCTGGAGAACACAAAAGCAAATTATAAACGGAATGATAGCTCGTCCGCGTACTCCTTCAAGTGCCGCTGCCGTTGCTATTGCTGCTGTCAATCGATGCCAATTAAATGTTCCCGATCTCGTCTTTGGTTTGTTCTGCAAAGCCGTGTCCATTTCACCAATTCAACTACGTAAGTCTGTATTTATGTGGTTGTGTGTTGCAGACTGGCCGATTAATTTTTGTTTTTTTTTTTTTTTTAATTCATTTATTGTTTACATTTTATCCGTGTATACATATATGCAGATATGTGTGTGTGTGTGTGTGCGTGTTTATGGCATTGACGTATGTATTTTCATGCAGTCTGTTTGGAGGAGAGGGCGGGGTGTTTTCCTTATAATTATACCAATTAAAGACTAATTTATATGAATAGTGTGTGTGTGTGCGTGTGTTTGTGAGAGGTTTGCAAATCTTATGACTAGGCGCGAGAGAGTTGCGTGCCCGACTGGTCAAAGAAAGTAACAGTTCTTTGGGCTTCAATCGAATTGCATCGATATATTTTCGCTTTTCTTTTTGAATTTTCATGCATACAAGACATAGATATGTGGGTGTGTGTGTGTGTGTGTAAATTAAAATAAAAATAACATAATCATAAGAGATGTTGTTGTGTGGCATAATTGGAGAGGTGGCATTGATTGATGTAGATTTTAGTAAATGCAGAAAATGGTATGTCATCATGAATGGGAATGTATGAGGAGGACAACATAAAATGTTATATGGTATGTGTGCGCTTGTAGGTGTGTGAGTGTCTGGATGCGGCGTTAGAAACTGGAGTTTCTGGAGATTGTCACAACGAGGATCAGATAAAAGACGTTCAAACTAAGTACCAATTGTTCATTGTCTTTTTTCATTCTTTTTTTCGAACTTAACTTGCACTTCTGTAAGGAGTGGGCGTCCTTGGGGTGCAGTAAATGAACACTTAACATATTTAGCATTAAATTAAAAAGGAAAACTAAACGAAACAACACTCAGATACAGAATTTTACGAGACAGAACCTAAACAAATAAAAAATAGGCATTGGAAATAGAAAAAACAACGCTTGCTCGATACCAAATAAAAAAGGACATAACAAATGAAAACTTGGTCTAGTAATCTGTTGAGGATGATATTTACGCACATTCATGTTTGGATTAACGACGTCAATTGTAAAAAATAGGATAATAGAAACGATAAATGGGTTTCTGCACACAAAGAGGGCTAAAGTCCATGGGTGGCGGGGGTATGTGGAAACATAAAATTGTCGACATAAATACTCTTAACTAATACTCAACTAATCTAAAGTAAAAACAAAAACCAAATCGAAACTAAACTAAACTAAACCATCAACTCAAAACGATAATTAATGTTAGGTACTAAGGACGGCAGAATTCGAGTGTGGCGAGTCTCCGTGGATGCCGCTATGAACGAATGCTGCCGCGTACATTCATCGGTGTGTACAATGCGGGAATGCAGATGACTAAATAAGTGTGACTAAATATTTATGATGCCAATCGTTAGGTATGCTGATGTCTGCCTCGGCACCTAATCGATCAGATTCATATTCGGAAATCGGAACAAAGTTACTCGACAATGTGGGATATGCTGGGATGTAGGTATGCAGTGTGCGACTTATGTATGTAACAAATCCAAATGAACACAATGAGGGAGAACAAAAGCTTTAACAAATAAAAAATCGTGTTAACGTGTAATATCGAGGCGAAAGCTCATAGTGAACGAATACGAACGAATTAGTACACAAATAGACAATTTATGGGGAGTATTAAATCAAAATATATATTTTCATTTGTCTTTCTCGGCGTTCTACTGCGCCCCACGTCTGCAAGGGGTCTGTAGTACTGTGGACATGGTTTATTGTTTGATGTTCACTCTGTCAGATTCATTTTGACTGTTTTCGTTTTTTTGTGTAATATTTAAATTTATCAACGCCTCAACTTTCTTCTTCGGTAAATGTGAGAAAAAAAGCGTTTTACTAAAACAAAGAATAAATTCAAACCAAATAAACAAAAAAAAAAAAAAACATCGACAAAACACGCAATGAAAACTGAAGGACTTCGTTGGAACTTTGCAAGCGAGGATAGCAAACCTTCCTCCCATTTCCCCAGAGAAAAGCGAGCGCGCATCTCTTCAATTTTCATAGAGTCTTTGTCGCTTCAAGGCATCATGTGACGGAAATAACTGAAATCGCTCCACATTTAAACAATCAAACAAGAAAGAAATTTATCTTCAACAGCCGCTCTTCGGGGCGGCCCGTGCGATCAATCGGCGATTGTCGATCGGTAACTATAAGATACGAACGAGGTGACCGGCCAGCGAACAAACAGGGAACAGCGGGTGAGTGCGGGTATGGACGCGTTCCGTCTTTGTGTCGCTGCGATTTAGTTTGGAAATTATGTTTTACTGAATGGATGCGTAGAGAAGTAAATGAATTGTTTGGATTCTCGAATGTCGATTTCAATTTCAATTTCGTTACGAGTTATCAGGAAATTATAACAAAAATAAACCAAAAGTTAAATAAAGAATGTCAATATCAAAATTATTAAAGATAACAACCAAAAAAGTTACATTAAATAAGAGAATTTTGTACGCATTGATGTAAATAATGTCAATGAGTTGTAAGCAAGGAGAAACTGGTGTGGGACTCACCTTGGGGGGAAGCGGCTATGTCGGCGGCCGAGGGCATCTGCGAATTCAGACCTGCAAGGGGAGAAGGAAAGTGGGGTTAGGTAATGATACTGATATCGTCCAGCGCCACCAACAGCTACTTACTGGCAAATGCGGCTGGGTCTAGATTGCCCATGGGAAATGTAAAGGGCGCCGATGGAAATAACTTGGACTCGGCTGGTGAGATTAGAAAGGGAGCCGACGGTGGATGCGGTGGCATCGTATTTTCAATTTCCTCGTCGTTCACCGAGCTGTCACAAACAAAAGAAATAAGGATTAGTTACGTCGTTTTGGACAAGGTCCACCTTTGACATCCTACCTTATGGAGCCTTTGCCGCAATCTACACTGCCCACTCGAAGCTGTTCATTTTCGCCATTTGAGTCGTTACTGTGCTCGTCGTTGTTATTGCTGCAGACCAATTCCATGGGTTCCGATTTGACATCTTCGGCTCTACGGGTCAGGGGTGAGGGCGTGAGACTTTCACCTTTTTCGCCCGCTGTAATGCCGTTGCCGTTCGCACTGGAATTGGAACCACTGCCGCCGTTTCCTGTGGCATTTGTCGAGGACCCATTGCCTTTGGTGGAGAGACAAAGCAATAAATACAAATTGGATGGAAATTAGATGGGCCGCGGATGGCAGTGGCCATGTACTTACGTTTCTCATCTTTGGGTGGGGGCGAGTTGTTGTTGTTGTGCTTCATAGTGGAGAAATCTGTGGGCGTCAACTGGGGGGAAGTGCTGCGTGGATGGACAATGTCGGGACTGTTGGTGTTGCTGGGCGGTAAACCGTTGTCGGGGCCACGCATTCGCTTCAACGTGTTGGTGGGATCTTCGGCAGAGGACGTTGAGTTGTTATGCTCGCGTCTCAACATGCCGATTCGCTTAAAGAACGGCATTTGCGTGGGCGGTAGTGGCGGTGGCGGGGACACCGCATTCCGCTGATACAACGGCGAGTCCTCGGACATGGATGTGTGCAGTGGATTCAAGGGTGTGCGCACCCCAGAATTGGCCAAGTTTTGTATTTGTGCTAATTGCTGCAGGAAGAAAAAACAACAACAACAATAAAAACTGTGAGTATTTCGGTCAAGCGTATCGCGCTCTCGGCATGCTTACACTATGGGTTTCCTCGGCCTGCTGTTGAGTAAGCCCTGAAACTCTAAGGACTTCCGCTGTCTTCAGGAACGACTGCAGAGACTTTTGATGCACATTGACTTCGCCATGGTAAATGAACTCGACCAATGAATGTAGATCGTTGAAGTTTACATCCTGCAACAATATCACTGGATGTTTGCAGGGTGTACTCTGAAAGAGAGTAGGAGCGAGAACAAAATTAGATCAATATGGAAGTGAAACAAGGGCGAAGTAGCATGGTATGTTTACAGATGAGGACGCCTCCTCTCCTCCATGGTGATGCCAGCACATGTTGTGTGACATGCATCGGCGAGTAAGACCTGTTTTCCAATTGCCCCCCTTTTGAATAGGTTTCGGTATTCGCTGGCTCAAGTGCGCTCTGCCCGCATTTCTTTGGCTCTGCGGCAGAGCGGTCACTGTGCATGCAGACAGCATTGCTGGCTGATCAAGAAGAATTGGGTCATGCGTCAGGCGAGATATTTTCGTATGGCTTTTTGCGAACTTTATCATCAATGCATACATACAGTGTTCGCACTAATACAAACACACCTACCCATCCATCCATCCCTCCATCCATTCAGTGCATGGTGATCGCTACGATATGCCGTGTAAATGCTGCTGTTATTGTTTTATTTTTGCTGTTCAACCGAACGATGTCGGCCGTATTACAACAATGTTGGGTTTGCTATTTTGCTGGTGTTTTTTCGTCTTTGTCGTCTTCTTCTTCTTCTTTTGTAAAATGAGGTCAACTGATCGACGAAAGTCTTGTTTGTTAAACCTCACGAATACACGCATATATACATATACATATATTAGTGTTCATAGCATTCGTGTATATAGGTGAGGACAGGGGAAAACATTTGCACAAGGCGACCAGAAGCCACACTCTTGACGTTGGGTTGGGTTTATAGAGGCACCACTGATCTTTGAAGAGCTTTGAGAGATGCTGCATACTTTGGCTATTTGCTGGCCAGTCCAGTGCACTGAAATTGGGACAGCGTACAATGCAAATGACGCTTTCCGCTGCCTTTGTGTGCCGGAGCAGTACTGTATTGTGTATTGTGTGACCCCTGACAATTCTCTGGGCATCTTCAAATGCAACTGCATCACAATCACTAGACAGACAATTAGCATTTCAAGTGGCCAGGTAAACACTCGAGTTCCTGGCCACTTGGCTTCGAAGCCAGTGTCCCGATTGCAGCCAAAAAGCTCATTAAAATTTTAGAGCTTCTCTGCAGTTAATTAATTATTGATGCTAAGGCGAGCAACGCCAACGAGCCTTGGCCGAAGGTGCTCATTGGCATCCGGCACTCTTCATTTTGCATTCTACAATGGCTGGAGTGAAGCGATGTGCCCCTGCTTCCCTGCTTGTGAGATAACTCCACATGCAAAGGAATAGGCTGCAAAAGGAACACACACACTCACACATAGGTTTACTTATGTATATTACGTGTTACAGCCTGAGTGAGAGTGGTTGTGTGCTCCGAGAAGTTGTGTCAACAAAGTTCTGTGCCATTTTAATTTGTATCGCCCCAGCTCTGCTGGCTTCCCTTTTCGATTCGTACAGCTTTCTTATTTCGATTTTTTGTTCGCTTCTTGCAAGCCGTTTGCTGTTTTGTTATAGTTTTTCTTTTTTCGGCCACTTTTTTGTTGACTATATTTTGATAATGTAAAATTAATTTTTTGCTTCGGCATGTTTTTATTGTTGTATCACTGGGAGTTTTTATTGCAGAGCTTGTTGTTGTCAGTTTAGTTGCATTTGTTAAACTCAAGTCGACTACTGTTCCCGGGGTGTTTGGTTGAGTGCTGGCATCGGCGGCACAGTGGCTCCATGGACGACGAAGAGCCCTGAAACGAAACTGTGGAATGCCTCAGGCAGATCCACTACTTGCCATAGAGTAGTAGACCACCCCTTCCCCCTGCATAACAAACAGCGGACAATACTGTCACGGATAAAGACAGCTCAGTATGCCCATACCGGAACAGGTATTTGTGGCGACATTGCGATCTGATAAAATGTGACTTGTGCCCACTGTATGCCGTTGTCCATTGCCCGCCGCTGTTGGTGTTGCTGTTGTTGGCCGCTTGCATTGTTCGTTGGCTTTTTTGCCAGTTTCTGTTCGGTGCTGTTTTGCATTGTATTATTTTTGCTATTTAGCAAATTAAATGTTGTATTCTTTTCGTTTGGCTTCTTTTCTTTGGTGTTGCTGTTAGGGCTGCTACTCTGCCTCTGCCACTGCTTCTGGCGGTGTTGTTGTTTTGCTACTGATATTTATGCACTTCAAAGAAAGTATGCAAAATGTCGTGACATTACTAAGTACGAGTCGAATATAATGTTTTTTAAGCATTTTTTGTTAGCAACGGTTAGTTTTTTTTTCTTCTTCTTCTTCTTCTTCTTTTTCTGGTGTTTGCTAAATAAATTTTGCATAAGTAGGCCCATTTCGACATTTGAACAATGCAACCGACCAAGTTTCTTTTCTTATTTAGTTGTTGCCATGATTGCTTGTTCGACTGCTAGTTGCCGTGTCTTCTTTTTGTTATTGGTACACGCTTTCCGTATAAGTCGACAACGCATTTTAGTGCCAAATTACAAATGACGGATAGGCGTACGATTATGGTTTGCAAAGGTGCGGGGAGTAGTGACTGCATAGCAAGGGATTATGAGTCAGTAAGCAGTCCTCACGCTCCTGGATTCAGCTAGCACCAATAGCCTTGGCACTGTATTTGTGTTTGGCGCTGTACGCTGCTGTTTGTCCCATGGCATTTGATTGTCGCATTGAGTTGTCATAATAGTGGTGGGGGGAGGTGTTGTCAACATCGCCCAGCATTCTTTGCCTGTCCATATTGTTTGATTGGGCGGTGCCTCGTAGGCCTCAAGAAAATGCATAAAGAACAACTTTCTTAAATAGTTCATTGCTGTATTGTTGCAAATGAGAGTTCGTTTTTTTTTAAGGGATGCCGAAATACGATATGCTCCTCACATGTCCGTGGAAAAATATCGAGGATAAACTTTAGAGTGCGGGTGTAAACAGGCCATTGACTAGGCTTGGGTAATATCATTCCTTACTTTTCATTCTCACTGAAAACCGAAAAGTCTTGAAATAATCCTAAGAGTATGTTAACCATTGCAAGACTATGGGGACAGAGAGGTAAAACACATGTATTCATATGAATGTTACTGAAATACGTCGAATGTACGAAATTGCAAAGTTGGAAATTTTTAATATCGACAATTGAACAATGAATAAAACATATGGATTTGTGCATGTTTGTAATTGGAAATCAATTATAACAATTGGTTAAAAACAAACAATTGTCCATAGTGGGGATGTTGTGTACGCTACATCGGATTTTAGGTAGCGCTGTAACATTCAACTGGCACCTACAACGTACTTTTATTACAAGTGTTAAATACACGTATTTATACAAATGTTACCTAAATACTCTTCTACTTTGGTAGAATTGATTTCTGTTTTTTCTCTTTGTTGTTGTTGAAAATAAGAACAGATAATAGACAAAATATGCTGGAAGAATTTAATCTGTTTAACAAATGTTCCTGCATCACACTACAGGTCATTGTTTTACAATTCAAACTCATTTGGGTTTTAACGGATACGCATCTGAGCAACACTTGTATTATCGATCTTTAAAGCCTTAGATTATGTAGATAAATATCAGACTTTCTAAGCATGTCATAGCTCCACAAGAGGTTAACATCGCGATGAGCATCCCTATATAAATATATGTAGTTGCTGCCAACTTTCTTACCTCCGCCCCTCCTTTCATGCGACTAGCTATCCTTTGTGACTGTAAAATTATGACTAAAGCAGCTAGAAACTTTAATAGCAGCCTAATTAATAAAATTGAAATAATATTTCAAACAAAAAAAAAAGTACAAATATCACGTGCCGACGAAAGTTGAAACCGCGTTCTGAAGCGGCGAGGTGTGGCGGGACTGGGGGACGACGTAATGTCTGGTAAATGCATTGCTAATATTTGGCGGTGTGTCGGTGTGTGTTTTTTATTTACCAACTTGCCTTTGTTGTGCATAATGTGGAATTAGCTTAGCCTTCATTGCTACAGTGGCATTTCTGCTGGCCTTTTTTTTTTTTTTTTTTGATTTTACCAACGACAACTTTACTCCGTCCGCCAAGGCATAATGGCAAGCGTAGTTGGCGAGCTATCATATCATATTCGGAACTTTGCTTGGTTGTGTGCTCTCATAGCTTCGTATTAGAATGGCGTGTTGGGGATGACATAAAGGCAGCACATTTTGCTTGTGCTTGCAGTTTTATACATCTGCATTCTCTTACAAAGAAGTTTGACACGCAAATGCGGTTAGAATGGCGGTTCCGCTGATGGGCAGCAGAATCGCCGAAAATTAATACATTACAATAGCGTTTGAGTTGCAGACACAGAGTGACGTTTTGGGGTGTAATATGTAGGTACGTACGTACGTCCGTTCTGTTTTGGACTTACCTTTAATAAATCTCGGAAATAGGGGCTGCATGCTGACAGGACCACGCGATGTGCTTTGATACTGCGCCCTTCGCAGGCCAATGTGACGTCGACGAAATCTTCGTCATCTCTGAGATTTTCGAAGGCCGATGTTATGCTACTTTGGTAGTTGTTCCAACGAAGACAAAAATGTTGCGTCTCGTCCATGGCGATGCTATGTTTGATGATGGCGTTTGAATATGGGAAGAGATTAACTCTGGTGTTCTATGAGGTGGTTTGGCGGCACGATTTGCCTTTATATTAATCTAATTATAATTTCTTGTTTCCTATATATTTATTTATGTGTATATATATTTCTTTGCTTCATACGAGCTATTATTTGCTCCTGGGGTGGCCAATAAATGACGCTGGTAACTTAAATGTAAAACTGCAAAGAAAACAAAAGATAAACAAAAAGTTCATTATTCAGGGTACATGTGGTTGTTCGTCATGATGACGAAACAAAAAAAGTATGTAGGTATGTAGGCCTTATAATGAGTCAAGATAAAGAAAATGGGGTAATCCCCGTTAAAAATAATTTGTACTTTTCTTAATTTTGACATTTGAACTAGGTGGAAAGCTCGATACGTTGTCGCTTGTTGAGATCAAGGAGTGTTGTCGTGCTAGCTGTCTCTGTACAATATATGTACTACATATATGAAAATAACAAACAAAGAACTAAAGACAAATCTTTAAAGTGGTGAGTGAAAAATGTTGAAAAGAATATGTATTTCTTGAGGCATGTCTGACATGTGAAACCTCCTGAAGAAGATCGAGCCGAAACAAAAATATTTTTTCTGATATTTTAGTCAAAAAATTTTTCGTTTTACAGTAATTTTCCGATTTAACGAATTTTTAAGAGGTTTACCTAAAATTCGACGTACTTAGTCGAGGTTTTTCAGCATACAAGTAAAATACATGTATTTTATAAAAGTTACCCAAATACGTCGGACGCACGAAATTTCAACATTGAAAATTGAGCAATTTGTTTTTGTGTCTGTGTGGGTTAAAAAAATAGAAATGAATAATGAATACCAAAAAAGTGCGAATGTTTGTAATTGGAAAATATAACAGCTACAAAGTTTTTACAACGTTAATAGTTGGTAGATTTTAAGATATGGACCTGGCGTATTTGGGTAATACGAACGTACCGTAGTGGGGATGTTAAATATTTGTATGTGCTACGTCGAATTTTAGGTAACGCTGTAAACATTTATATTACGATGTTGTGATTTGTTTGAGGCTGAGATAACATCCCTCCATCAGCACAACCGGGAATTAAGAATGACGATGTTGTAAAACATATTAAAATGTGTGTACAATGGGTGTAACAAAATAGTATAGACATAGACCAATGAAAAAATGGTCGAAGAAATGCTCTCAACGTTTGTCTTCGAAAACATTAGGATCTGCAGATGTTGTTTATATCGTTTCAGGGGTATGAGTGAATATATTAAAGTCACTCAATTCTAAAATGATAAAAATATCATACACCATTGGAAAAATACGGGAATAATCAAGTGAAATTCTTAAAAAACGATTAAATGTGTTTTGGAAGTCGAGTGGGTCGACTGTATAAAGCAGCATGTTGACTATGCAAAGCGTGCTGAGAGCCACCTGTATAAAAAAAAAAAAACAAACAAAACTAACTTTTCGTTGTCTATACTTTCATTAGTCTATGATATAGATGCCATCAAATCCGCAAATCGAGAAGAAGCGATGAAAAAAACACTACAAGTTCCTAAAATATAACAAAATAGGTAATTACAGTTATTTACAACTACAATTCCAAGCAAGATGTCACAAAAAAGCACAACAACTCTATTAATATCAGAATTCCTCAGAGAGTTTTTATTTCAATAGTTTTTGAGTAAACAAGCCCTGTTATAAATAGTACTAATTCATTTTCTCGAACAGGTCTGACGTTATATAGTTCGTTAACTTGAAAAACTACTGTATTTTTGGAATATTCTTCGGCTGAGATAAATGTTTCAACATCGGTGGCAATTTTGAAATTTCATTGGACTCTGACTGGGTCACATGAGTATGTCTTCCATTCAAAGATCACAAAAATCGAAATAAGTAGGGAATTTCCAAAGAAGTGATCGTGTGCCTGCATATTTCAAGTTCCTGCAATACCCATACAATATCAAAGTATAAAACAAACTAAACTTTTTTCTTCTTAATCATTTGTTTAAATTTAAACTTGAATTCCATGCCGAACAACAAACAAATGGCTGCTTAGTGTTAATAAACTCATTGAATCATTCCCGTTTGTTTCATGGTCAAGGTTTTATTTTTGTTTGCTTGCGTCTCGCCCCTTGGCTCTACACCAAACAGTGTTCTGCAGTTCTGAATTCTATTTAGAATAGAGAGTGAATAGCAGCAGCGGAATGTTGTTATACGTCGAGCAATAGCAGAAAATTGAGATTAGGCGTTTCGAGACTACTGATGCATCGAATCTCATTCTCTCTTGGCAGCGCAACTACTCTCAAAACTGTCCTTCGGCTTGTAGGCCTAACCTTAGTCACGCCTAGTTGGGTGCTGGAGCAACGGGAAGTTGCTTAGAATTCACTTCTTTTGCTAATTTGGCAAGCCATTGACAGGCATTTCTGTATGATTCACACACACACACACACGCCCATATACATGCATCTATTATTCGCGATGGATGTTAGTATTTTTAATTTTAGGCGAACATTCAAGAAAACACACTGACAACAAAATAAATATAAAGTAGGTGTAGTTGGCCAAACAAACAAACACACACACACACACGCAGAGACGCATACACACAGTGGTGTACAAGTGCGACTTTGTCGAAATGCATGTGTGTAGGTAGGTGTCTACATTTTTAATGGATCTTCCACAGTCGAACTATGCAGAACGTCGCTGGGAACTATTCTCGGCATGGTGAGTGACTTTGTGGGTTTTGTGTTCGTTCGATGTGACTCGGTTGCGGGTGTTGGCGGGGCTGAGAGAAATGTTTCGTCTGCTAGTTGAGTTTATAGTGAGCGAGTGCAGGGTTTATCTAATCGTCGTCGCCGCAGCGCTGAATTTCGCACGAAAGTGAAATTGTATTTTCAAGGTCTTTTGCTGCGACCACTATCTCACCTTTTACTGAATTCGGTGTTCGGCAACGCATTTTAGCGTTCCTATTTCTTTTTGCATAGTGAACACATACGGGCGTTCTGATATTTGTTCTCTGTTTAGGTACACTATTTGTGACAGTATTTTGACGAAAATATGCGACGGAAATATGTTTAGTATCAATTTAAAGTATGTATCTGTCTGTTTCAATATTCGAAATTTTGGATTTTTGTAAAAGAGTTTTAAAAAATTAAAAGAGATCACACACTTCGATTGGATATTCCGATAGAATTGTAAAGGTTTTAGCCGTTATATAAAATTCCGTCCGACCGACCGACCGACTGACCAATGGACCGAATTAGACCTGGGAATATGCGCAACTGTTAGGACTAGCGTTAAAAAAGCGCATTAAGCAACTGCTGAGAAAACTATCCATAGCATTCACTCGAACCACGCGAACTGCGCCCAATTTCACAAAAAGAGCACAAGGCAAAAACACCAACCAGCAGCAAGCAGCACAACAACAATAAGCACAACAACAACATTGTCGCCACCGCATACAACTACAGCAAAAACAATGTAGGTATTAATAATACACTTCAGCCGTCGTCATCCAACAGGAGTTTTTTTTGCGGGTGTTTGTGTGATGTGATTCGCGCTGCGGCAAAACGCAATTTTATTTCTGCTCGTTCTCTTCCAATTGAATGTATGTATGAAGGTGTGTGCCGATATGTATAATCATAATACTAGATCAAAGGAGCAGAGTATGTATGCATTTCGGCTGTTGTTTGTCCAGACCCCACTACACACTCACTATTTTTATTCTCAAACATATTCGGGAATAGAATAGTCGTTGCCGTTGTTGTTGTTGTTGCTCGTTTTTTTGCCGAAATTTTGTTTTCAAACATCGGCCTGCCAGTGTGTGAGAGCAGGGAGATGGAGACAACGATTCCATGGCATTGAATCAAATAGAATTTGAGCAGGGATCCAAGTTTAAGCCGATAAAAGTAATTTGAATGCATTCTTTTGGTCGGGGAAAATCAATTAAACCCTTAGCAGATATTGATGTTCCCTCCCCTCCTGCTTTGATTCAACGCGCGCCCTTCCCCAAAACGCGATCCCCTAGTGAGTGCAAAATACGTACTTTCCTAAAATTGTTGATGTCTTTTGTGTGGCGCACACAGTTCTCCAAACGGCTCGACAAGATATATTTGTGAGAAAGAGAGTGAGAGAGAGAGCGGGAAAGAGCGAGAGCATCAGCAAAGTTGCAGGCCATACCATAAAATTCTATTTTTTATTCTTTGGTTTTTGTGTTTTTTTTTTGCTATTTTCAAGGTTAAGTTTTAGTTGTGCACAATAAATACTGAAAAGCACACACATTCATGCACACGATAGCTGTTGTTTTGGAAAGTTTGCGAAAGTGTGACGATGTGTGTTTGCTTGGATGATGAATATTCAATAGTTTCACTCACTGACAAACATTCCGTTCTACAGCTACCCATTCGATATGTTGAAACCTCGACACACCGATGGTAGCTACGACAATTTGTTGCGACGTTCTAATCTGGTCGTAGGTACAAACCAAACACATAAACTCACTGTAGACTAGTGCCCAGACAGTCTAATGCAAATCACCAGTCACCTAGTTGCGATTTACAAGGTCAGGGAAGCCCCTACGACAAGGCCAAACAAATAACAACAGCCACCGGAAAGAGAAGAAAAACAAAACAGAGGCAATAGAAAATGCAAACACTTGTTGCTAGACCTGCTACAAAGTCGCACAGACCGAAAACCAACAGCAAATGTAAAGTAGTTAGACACACACACACACGTACACATACAAACTAGCACACGGAACCAAGTGCCCAGACTCGTATTTGCCACAGACCAGCAGCCGAGAGCAAAAACTACACACATTGACTTTAGCCTCCGCATGCAGCTGACAAATGTTCGTCCCTTAGAAGAGTATTAGAGCCACATAAACGCACTTACACACACACACACACACTCAGTCCCACAGACATGGCACATCAGAAACCATTGTAATGTTGCACACTCTGGTGGCGAAGCTCTGGTGCACATGTTCGGCATTGGGCAGGAGGTGGTGGAGGTGGAATCAGCAACAACCACTCCGAAAACTAGATTTTCACGATGTAGTCGTCGTTGACGTAGCCCGTGCTAGTTGTTATCGTCATCATCATCATCTCAACTTACAACGAAGCAACCAGCCATTCATTCATCCATCCATTCATTCACTGCATCTACGACAACTAGTCGCCATGTCTGTTTGGATGTTAG